ACTGTTATTTAAGACTAAGGCAGATGTAAAGAAATATGCCAAGGGGCGTCTGGATGGCTCAGTCGGTTAAGTGTCCGACTTCAGCTCAGGTCGCGATCTCTCGGTTTGTGAGTTGGAGCCCTGTGTCGGGCTCTGTGCTCACAGCTCGGAGCCTGGAGCCTGCTTCAGAGTCTGTCTCCCTAGCTCTCTGCCCCTCCCCCACTCACGTTCTGTCTCTGTCTCTCAAAAATGAATAAATGTTTAAAACGAATTTTTTTTTTAAAAGAAGAATGCTACGGGCACTATGTCCACGCATGAAGTGAGAAGCCTCAGCCCAGAGGCCACCACTGTGAGGCACTGAGAGCTGAGCTGTGAGGTCCCCCGATGGCTCTGGGCATGTGAGGCTTCCCTGGAGAACTCCACAAGTGATCCAGGAATGAGAATCCAAGAGCAGGTAGACTTCCTACATTCGTGGGATGGGGGCTCAGGCTGCTGTTAATTGTAGAATTAAAGGGAAATGACACCCCTGACAACTGGAGAAATCAAGGTCATCTGGGCCACGGAACGAATACCCAGCTGCCTCTTGAAATGACATGGGGTATTTTTGTCAATGTTCTGTTCTTAACCTGCTGCAGCCCAAGTTCACAAAGCAATGACAGTGGACTAGGACCTCTCCCTCCCTGATAAGAGGATTGCCTTAAAAGTCACTTGCAGGGGAGAGGTCCCAAGTACAATCAAAGGCCCCAATCCCTAGAGTGGGGTGGGACTCAGCACCACATACAGCCTGGAGGAAAATCAAGTGCAGGCAGACACAGAAAAAGGACTGGCTCCCTCTGGCCAGTATGAGGCCTTTCTGCTGAATATTTCTAACAACCACACCCCCTGTCATCTGGGGAACCTCTGACAATTGTCAGCACACTTTGCATCCGGCCTTACAACAGCCCAGGAAGGGTTACAATGATTCCAGTCTTGTCAGTGGCTAACAGAGGTGAAAGCGCTACCCCAAAGGTACACGGCCGGCCATGGCCGAGCCGGGGCTAGAACTGGGTCTCCAGTTTCCAAGACCCACAGTCTTCTCCCAGGAGCCTTGTGAACCTTGGGCACTGACCAAGCACAATGTCCCGGCGTGAGGTTGCAGGCGTGAGAAAGCTCTTTGCTCCAACTCTGCTGATTCAAGGGAATTAGCAGGAGAGGTTCCTCAACTGGTAAATCAATATTTCTTCCTCTTGGGGCGCCTGGGTGGCTCAATCCGTTAAGCGTCCGACTCTTGATTTCGGCACAGGTCACGATCTCATGGATCATGAGCTCAGGCCCCACATTGGGCTCTGCGACGACAGCAAGGAGCCCGCTTGGGATGTTCTCACTCTCTCTCTGTCCCTCCCCCCTCTCAAAAATAAGTACATAAGCTTAAATGTATATACATACACATATATACGTGTACGCATATATATACACCTATATATCTTCCTCTTTCCTCTAGGCTGATGGGCAAGACACTCTGCTGTAGCCTTCCTAGTGTTCCACAAGCTTAGCTGCTGTGGAATGTCAGGGAAAGAGACTTGAACCTCAATCTGAAGACCAGGGTTTTGATTCTGCCATTAACTAGCAAATCCCTCAGGGGGTCACCTCCGTGCTCTGAGTTTCCTCTTCTTCGGTGGCCCCTTCACCTCACCTCTGTGGCTGTCCTCGACCCAATGACTACCAAGGGTCCTCAGGCAGTCTCCTTCCCTCTGTCTGCTTCTCGGGGTCTGTTCCCTCTAGGGCGCTCTCTGTTATGGGTGGCTCTGACACAGCAATCACAAGGCCTGGAACTTCCCTAGTCACTAGTCAGGGACAGAAACTGCAAGTCCTGCCTATAACCACAACTGAACATGGGCTTCCTACCCTCCCAGATGTCCACCCTCCCCCCCAGGGATGCCCGTTGAGAAGCGTCATCCCGAAGACCAAGATGAAGTAAAGCGAAAATGAGACAATGGAACCATCCAGAGCTCAAAATTTGCCCTAAAACTTTCCCAGTGTGGCCATGGGGACACGATCCCTACCCAGCTCCACCCACAGCTTTTCTGGGGCTTCACCACGCTCCCTCCACCCACAACCCTCAGCCCTGAGCTGTTCCTCCTCCCCCCACCCTCTCTCTCTCTCTCTCTCTCTCTCTCAACTCACCACACATTTGTCTTCCCCAACAGCTCTTCCAAGATAGGAAACGGCGTTGTTTACACAGTGTTGGAAGCATGAGTTCTGGAGAGACCTGGGCTGTAGCCTGCCACTCACCGGCTGAGTGATACAGACAAGCGACTTAGTCTCGGACCTCACCACTCCGTCTCTAAAACACCGGTAACGAAGCCAATCTCGTAGAGTGGCAGTCAGGATTCAACGAGACAACGTCTGTGCGTGAACCAGGATAGCCAACGCCAGACGGTGTAACAAAAATCCCCAAATCTCAGTAACTAGATACGACAAGAATTCACTCCTCGCTCCAGTCACAGGCTCACACAGTTTGGGCGTCTTTTACCGAATCGTTCTCCTCTGAGATGTGATTCAGGGACCCAGGCTCCTTCCACCCCCTTGGAATCCTCCACCGGACCCCTTCCAGCGAGCTGACAGAATAACAAAGGGAAAGTTACAGGCCAGGCCAGGAAGTGGCACCCATCAATTCAACTTTACATTGGTTAAAACCCAGTCCCATATTCCACCTAACTGCAAGGGAAGCAGGAAATCTAGTTGCTACGAATAGCAGAACCTTAGAGCAGAACACTGACAATACATAACTGCATACAAACCAAAACAAACACATGAATTTCTTTTTTAAAAAAAAAAAAAGGTATGGTGGGGTGCCTGGGTGGCTCAGTCGGTTAAGCGTCTGACTTCAGCTCAGGTCATGATCTCTCAGCTCATGAGTTCGAGTCCCACGACGGGCTCTGTGCTGACAGCCCAGAGCCTAGAGCCTCCTTTGGATTCTGTATCTCTCTCTCTCTCTCTCCCTTAAAAATAAATAAACATTAAAAAAAGAAAAGATATGGTAATCATATGTCTGACCTAATTCCTGTTCTCAGTGCTATGAGGCAGCAGGACACATGGGGATAGCCTGTATTCAAATGCAGGCTCTGCCTGAGCAAAACATTAATCTATGTCAGCCATGGTGACTCTCATCTTAAAACAGGTAAGCTGACTTACGCATTTTACAAGGTTCTTCAAAAGCGCCATGTTCCCCCATCTCTAAGTGGACACTGCCCTCTGTCTGGAACATCCTCCATATCTGCTCTTCAACCCAGCTAGCTACCTCCTACAAATCCCTCAAGTATCAGCTTAGATGGCACCTCCTCCAGGAAGTGTTCCCTATCCTCTACTCCAAGTTATGGTTGAGTGCCCGTTTCCTGTGTACCCACTTTGGCCTATACTTCCTTCCCAGAACACTTCCCATGGCATATTAAAATCTCTGTTTACTTTCCGTCTCTAGCTAAATTGTAAGGTTCTTGGGGGGAAGGGACCTTGTTCTGATCACTATTTTATCCTCAGCTTTAATACAGGATCTGGCCCAAACTGAGTGTACAGAATAAAATTGTCATGTGAATGAATTAAGAATCCTGACCCTCCCTCACAATGGCAATGGGGTAAGACTTTTAAACTCTTATAACTGAAAAAAAAAAAAAAAAAAAGTAAGTAAAGACAAGCTCAACAAGAAACTGTCGTGTACTCCTCCTTCAAAAGGTCAGTGGGAACTGAAAAGTCATTTCAGAAGGCAGCCACACCCCTTGGGTCATGCCTGGATACTTTTGGCCACTTAATCTTCCAGTTGGGCAACAGAGAGTGCAGAAAACATTCTCACACATTACAAACCCTGGAACTCTTTCTCCCAGCTGATCTGAGGGTGTGGCAACAAGAGCTGTCCCCTTAGGGTGGCTCTCTGACTGACGCCGTGTCCTGCCTCCCTATACCACTCTCCACTATCCACATAGGTGGGGCATCCCTCACCTTCACTAATCATCATCAAAAAGTGAGGTCTTACTAGCCCTACAGTAGACCCTCAGCCCAGAAGAGGACTCCCTCCCCAAGACACCCACATGCTCTTAAGCAGGTGTCAGCGCACAACCAAAGTGAAGTGGACAAGTTTGTCTCCCATGCTCTCACATCTTCAGTGCACCTGGAGTGAAGTCTCGTTTGAGTCAAGTGATACGGAAGCATGAGTAACGGACAATATGCTACCCAGTCCCCCAGGAGTTTTATAGGAAGGCAGGAAGGCAGGAAGTCAGGAAGGAAGGAAGAGAGAAAGAAAGAAAGAGAAGAGGAGAAAAGAAAAGAGAAAAGAGAAAAAAGAGAAAAGGAAAAGGAAAAGGAAAAAAGAAAAGAAAAGAAAAGAAAGAAAAGAAAAAAGAAAAGAAAAGAAAAGAAAAGAAAAGAAAGGCTCTAAATGTGAGATTTCAGGCAAGCGACAGAAGCCAAAAGCAGCTGAAGGAGGCCTCGGACACCCCTCCCAAACTATTTTACCGCTGGCTTGGCTTATAACCCTACACCCACGCACTAGGGCCACATGGAGAGTCACACACGTGTCCTAACAATGTTGCCTGAGCGCCTGGGGCACTCTCCTCCCTTCCCCAGCTCCGAGCGAGCGCCTGGCCTGGGCCACAGCTCCAATCCCAACCCTGTTTGTCCATCCCGCAAAATCAGCTCTGACACCCTCACCCCACCTTCCGCACCCCTGCCCAGACTGCCCGGGCTTGCTTTAACGCGATCGCACTGGGCGGCCTTGGAAACCGGGAGCGGAGGGCTGGGAAGCAGGGAAGGGACGCCGGAACCGCGTCCCCTCCCCGGGACAGCCCTGTGCCCGCCCACTCCCCCACCCCCGCATCCTCCCCACCCGAGTGGGCGGGGAGCGCAGAGCTGCGGGCTCAGGGCTGTGGGCAGCTGCCCGCGCGAGCATCCGGAGGCGCGGCCTCGGGGGGAGGGGCGGGGCGTCTCGGGGCCCCGCCCCTCTGACGCAGCCTGGCGGAGTGCGGGCGGGGCAGCCCGCCAGCCCGAGCTCTCAGAGGCAGAGCCGCGGAGTCGCGGCTGGACGCGCGCAGCCCGGCTCCGGCCCCCGGAGGATGCGGCGCGCCCAGGATGCTGCCGCGCCTGGTAGTGCCGCTGGCGGTGCTCCTCAGCCTGCGCCTCTGCTCCGGCGCGCACGGTAAGGATCGCAGCCCGGCCCTCCCCTGCCCGCTCCGCGCTCGCCCGGCTGGGCTGTGTGCGTGTCCACACGCGACCCCCGCCTTTCGTCGCCCCTGCATTAAAGTTGTGCGCTCCACGGGGAACCCCGTCTGGCTGTCCCTCTGGGGAGAGGGGAGTCCATTGTCCAACACTCCCCCCCCCCCCCCGAAGCTCCCTCATTCCGGCAAGCCTGAGTCTTAGGCTCCCCGTTGTGGAAGTGTAAGAGCATTAAATTGATGGGGGGTAAGGGGGTGGATAGAGAAGTCAGATAACACCCCCGCGCCCGGCTTATTGTCCATCCACTTCCAGGCCGATCAGAAATTTAGCCTTGGCCTTTTTTGTTGTTGTTCTCGGCCAGCTAAGACTGCTTCCCCACCCTGGGGAATGACTTTGATTCCCCATCCGACTCCACCTTCCCTGAGAGGTCCACTTGACCTGTTTCTTCCCCGTGCCATGCCCTGGCTCATCCCAGCTCTTTCCCCTCACTGTCACCTGTGGCTCCATCTGATCATCCCCTGCTTCTTCTTTAGCCCCTAACGTGCTCCCACTGCCACCCGCCTCCCCCTACCTCCTCCTACCCCTTAGCTCAGTCTTCTAACCCAGCCAGCTATCCTGGAAAGTTTCTGCAGGGGAGCCGAGGCAAGCCTGGAGAGAGACTGAAAGGGCAGCGAGGTGGCGGCAGGGAGAGCAGGGACTGAAACCGCGTCTACACCAAAATACAAAGTAAAACATGCGGTCAGCCGTTCACATGATCGAGAGCTGAGTCGGGGACGTGCAGCCCAAACACCACAGAGACCCGCTGCATTTTTCACTTTCCATCCAATGTTCTGAAATCGAAACACCGCCTTGAGGATCAAAGACATTGTAAGAAAGAAAGAAAGGGACAGGGGAAATATACTCAGTGCGAATGTCAACTCTAGAAGAAGTATTACTAGAGATGGTGAGAAATTAGAGAACAAAGGAGGCCTGGGAGAGTGGCTGGCAGACTGAGAGACATTAAGGGATCAAGGAGGAGAGAAGAGGGATTGACTGGGTATTGGCCTTGACCTACCTCATTGCCCTTGACTGGCCAGACTCTCAGCATAGGTGTATTTATTACATTCTTACAAATGAGAGGTCTGGTGAAGTTAAGTAATTTGCCCAAGTCACACCGGCAAGTTCATTTGAGGCCTCCCGAAGTTGGAGTTTCCCCCTGGTGAATGGGAGGAGCAAGGGCAGAAGATGGGAGTTCGGCTGTGGTGTTGAGTATCTCGCCGTGGAGCCAAGGGTGCTGGCTCTGGGTGGAAATGTCGTCAGCCCTGTGTAGAACCCAAACTGCTTCGTTCTGTCTGTCAGCCAGCCTAAAGCCCTTCTAGAAGCGGGGGAATGGGGCAAGCACACAGCTTGGGACTGCCCAGGAGAGCTGTGAAGAGAAACAGATGCCAACAAGCAGGACATCTGTGTACCCCCAAGAACTGCAGAGAGGAGGGCTGGGGCTGGAGCCAGGATGGGGACCAGCTATGGGGATGGGAGCAGGCCTGGGGATGAGGCCGGAACAGGGACAAGGATCCGGCAGAGCCAGGGACTAGCTCATCTGAGAGCCCATTGCAGACACACATACCTTAGCCCTCAGGCTGTGCCTTCCCTGCTGAGATAACGTCCGACTCAGCTTGACGCTTCTCAGCCTCCGCTCCTGCTTCCAATCACGGACAGCACAGGACAGCAATTTAAGGACACAACACTAGCTCTGGAATCAGACCCATCTGGATTCACCCTGACCGTCACTCACTCCATGGGCCTCGGGCAAGTCACCTAACCTTTCCGTAAAATTGGAGTAATAGATGCCTACCCTGGAGGGCTGCTGGGATAACTAACTGACACAACATAGAAAAAGTACTTAGCAGAGTGCTCAGCTCAAAGGACTCAATAAATGGAGGCTGTTAGACCGATGGCCACCGTCAGCATCATTATCCCCGGGAGGCGGGCTCCACCAGCTCTGATATCCACACTCTTTGCCCCAGGAACAGAACTTCCCAGCCCTCCATCTGTGTGGTTTGAAGCAGAATTTTTCTCCCATATCCTCCACTGGACCCCCATCCCGAATCAGTCAGAAAGCACCTACTATGAAGTGGAGCTTCTGAGGTATGGAAAGGGGAGATGGAGAAAGGAGAGAGGTGGGTGTGGGAGGGGGTGGACCCATCCCCTTGCACTTTCCCGGCACGGGAAGATAAATCGGTCTTGTCATTGAAGTGACTCCAGGAAGGACCCTGGTGCATATCCATCAGTTGACGAGTACTGATTCGAGTCTCGTGCGTTGAGCAGTGCGCTGGGAGCTCTGGGGTGAAAAGGCCAAGGTGTTGCCTTTACCCTCAAGGTTTTTTCCATCTTACTGGAAAAACAGGAAGTGCATCCATAATATGGTCGGAAAACAAGTAAAAGCCCAAAGGACTGCAAATGTAGTCGGGAGAAAGGAGAAATGAGGCCGTGTGGCAGCAGGTAGCAAGGCTTCCTGGAGGAAGGGGATGTCCGTTAGATGTTCCAATCTAAGAGAAATTGGTATGCGGTTCCAGAACCAAGAGAGAGATTCTTGCAGTTAGATGCCCTGGGCCAGAGAAAATGCCCTGAGGGCTGGACCATCGTTGAGCTCTCTCCCCGGGCCCCTTGCTTTCCTCTTAAAGGAGGTAGGTTTGAGCACAAATGTCCCTACTGATGCTCTGATCCGGATATCTCCCCAGGTATGGAAGAGACTCCTGGGAGTCCACCCCCAGCTGTAACCAGACCCTGGTGCTGTCCTGTGATCTCACTATTATGACCCTGGACCTGTACCACGACAATAGCTACAAAGCCAGGGTCCGGGCAACGACTGGAAACCGGTACTCCAACTGGACCAACACCAACACCCGCTTCTCCCTGGATGAAGGTGCTTTTCGAAACTCCCCTGGACCTGGAATATGGCTTTGGGGGTCCCTTCCTGCCAGAAACTCTAGTCTAGAACTCTACTCTGCTCCCATAGCTTGCCATCCAGCCAGGCTTCCTGGCCGGCCACCGTGTTGCCCAAACAACTAGTCAGGACTTTCTGGGAAGATTTAGATGAAAACAGCCAAGTTGTTCAAGACTTAAAAGGGAACTGGAGTTGTTTATCCTACAGAAGAGAAGTCTTGGGGCGAGTTGGAGCAGCTGAGTCACAGGGGCCAGACCTGTGTACTTATAGAGTTCTGGAAGAGGAAGTGAATCCATAAGCTCTCAGCATGGGGCAGCAAACAGTAGGCAGACTTCGATCTAGTCCTCACCTGCCTCAGGTTTAATTCCCAGGGGTCAGGGTGTGAGGCTTTGAGGCAGGGAGATGCTGATGAAGAGTTGGGGGTCTCTCTTTCTAGAGATCAAAGGGTAAGCCCCAAACTTGATGGGATTCTTCTATTCTGCAAATTGGAACTGACCATATACTCTATGTGTGTGGTGAGCCCACTCTGCAAAATTCAGAGCCAGAACCAATGGTCGTTGAGGTCACTGGCTCCCAAACGCCGGCCCGCAGGCCAGTGTTCAGCTGGCTGCAGAAATATTACCCGGGCAGTGTGTTTAAAATAAATGTTTCCAGGGCCCAGTTTCAAAACTTCAGATTCACTGTGTCTTGAGTGGGCCTGGGGCATCTATATTTTTAACGTAGGCCCCAGGAAGTCCTGATGTTCTGCTGGGTTGCAAACCAGTGGCCCAGGTTTTAGGGTGGGTAAAGCTGGACTCTAGAGGCCAAGCACGGGTGGGGCACCCAGGCCCTCCCCAGCCCGCCGGCCTCATGAGTTTGCCTCCCCACTCAGTGACTCTGATGGTCAGCGTGAAGCTAGAGGTGGACAACGGCATCATCCTCGGGCGGATCCAGCTCCCCAGGCCCAGGATCGCCCCTACAGGCGACACTTACGAAAGCATCTTCCAACACTTCCGAGAGTATGACATTAAGTTGCGCAAGGTGCCAGGGAACTCTACGGTATGGACTTCCCCAGGGCCGCAGCCCCTGGGCTCCCTGGGCCTCCCTGTCACCCCGGGCCGGCAGCACCTTTTGTGCACCTGTGGGGGACTTTGCTGGCAGAGTGGAGGGCGGTCATGGGGTGGGGAAGGGAGTTGAGAAGCCCTCGGTTAAGATGCACCTGCCAGGTGGCAGGGAGGACCCTGCCTGCTAGCACCAGGCACCATGCCACACATCTGATAGCTGTTAGTTCCGACACCCTTGCAGGTGGATATTTTACTCCCTTTGAAAGTGGGGAAAGAGGCTCCGAGAGGCTATGTGATTGCCCATGGACACCCCGTATGTGGGATATCTGGAATCTGCCAGGAAAGAGGATGCTCTTTCCACCATTTGATTCCGGCCCCTTCTAGAAAGGTCCTCAGTGTCCCGTAAAATGTTCCACTTCTCTTTTAGTACGAGATAAATCATGTTAATCACAGAGATCTTGGGCTGCATTGATGATAGCGGGTTTGTGATGTTTGAGAAAGGACACTGAAGAAAGGTCGGCCTGGAGCACCTCTGACGGCTCCCCAGCTCTCGGCTCCCGCAGCCCATGAGCCAGGGATATTTTGTTTATGGCTGTGTTGTTTTCGTTTCAGTTCATAAAGCAGAAGATAAACCATGAAACCTTCAGCCTCTCACCTCCTGGAGAACTGGGAGAATTCTGTGTCAAGGTGAAGCCATCTGTGGCCTCCCGAGTGAACAGGGGGCTGTGGTCCAAGGAAGAGTGCATTGTGCTTACCCCACGGTGTGAGTCTGCGGCCAGGGCTGCTGTCCGGGTGGGGGGGGGAGGCAGGAAGGGCCTCACACAACCCGAAAAGCATCGGCTGAGGGCTGCCGATGCCATGGGCTCTCCTCCCCACAGCCCTGTGGGTGAGCTCCTATTGTCCCCATTTTAGAGACGCGGGAACTGAGGCTCTGTGGGTACAAACAACTTTCTAGGACATGGTGGCAAAGCCAGGTCTCTTGCTTCTGCTGCTGCTTCCACGTGAGCACAGCCGTGCTTCCCAAGAACCCACCACCCCCACCCCAGCCTACCTCCGCCACCTATGGTCTTTCCCGTTTGTTACATTCCTCAGCCGTCCTTCCTTGGAGCTGGGCACAGAGGGCCTTCTAACCCTGCCTCCCCCTCCGAGGAAGCCGAACTGAGCTGCCCCCTGCCACAGCTGCTGAAGCCAGGCTCTCCGCAGGTGCTGTGTCCTTCACAGTCATCTTATGTGGGGAAACGGAGGCTCAGAGAGGCTGTGTAATTTGTCCATACCCTTACGGCTGGTGAGTGCTGGAGCTGGGACTTAGCCCAGGTCTGGCTGCTCCCAAAGCCTCCATTCCCACCCGCTGTACCACCCTGCCCCACCGTTCCACGTGCCGTAGCGTGAATCGAGCACAAAGCCGGAAGCCGAGTCAGTGTGCCTAGTGAGGGAATCCTTCAGGACAGAGGTTGGAAGGCCAGGCAGGGATTCTCAAGAATCCAGAAACATCTAGCTGTATAGCCTAGAGGAAGCCTGGGGGATCACCTGGGCCCCGCACTTGGTGGCTCCCGGGAGCCACCCCTCCAACGTCCCACAACTGCCGGGCCACAAACACATCTCTCTGGGCCTACAGATTTCACCGTGACCAACCTCCTCATCTTCTTCGCCTTCGTCCTGCTGCTCTGCGGAGCCCTGGCCTACTGCCTGGCCCTCCAGCTGTACGTGCGACGCCAGAGGAAGCTGCCTACCGTCCTGGTGAGTCTCCAGGAGGGGCCGCTATCCCATCCTCCTTAGCCGCACCAGGGCTCCAGGAGGCAGCGGGCTCCCCCCAGACGGTCCGTTCCCTCAGCCCTGACGTTATCAGCAGGCACCTTCCTCAGGGACCACGGGGACGGAGGCAGGGCTTACAAGCAGAGCCCGGTGCTCATAGCCCCGATAAGATACATACTGAGTAGTCCCAACCCCCAAGGTGTTTTTGTTACTATTTACTATTAGTACCTCTGAGGCAGGTATTATCCTCCTTTTATCTTCCCCTATGGGGAGGCATAGAGTGACTGTTCCACGCACAGGGGTCACAGGGCCAGGAAGACTCAGGCCGAAGCCCAGTCTTTGCCCCCACCTACCGGCTGGTGATGACGAGTGCTCCGGAAGAGGAAGAACTCAGGCCTAGAAGCACCCACCTAGTGCTGCCACCAGAGTGGCAGAGAGCAGAGCGGGTGGTAATGCCGAGGAGGTCATGGCCAGGGTCTCTGACCCTCTTCCAGAGCGTCTCGTCTTGCTACAGTGCCAGCAACAGCTGCACCTGTGCTAGTAAGCCAGCGTTTCCAAACTGTCCCGCCTGTCCCGCCTGGGGTTCAGGCTTCTCCAGAGCTTGCGGCCACATCCCCCCAGCCGCCATCACTGTGATAGCCGTGGGCTGTGCTGGGGAGGACCGGCCCCATCAGGGAGCCAGGGGCCCTAGGAAAGGCCACCGCTGGAAGGGTATCCCCCCGCTCAGAGGGATCCCAGGATTTCTGGGAAAAAGAAGAAGAGAGACACAGGTCCTCTGGAATTATTTTGAGTGAGAACTCCAGGAAGTGGGGAGGCAGGGAGAGAAGCCACTGCCTGCCCTACTTAGAGCCTTGTCCAGGAAGCAGAGGACGGTGTTCCTGTGCCCTGGGTACCTTAGGAGACTAAAAAGTTCTCCCCTGCGTCTAACTGAAGTATGCAACTCACGGTTCCTTCTCTGTACTCTGGGGAGATTCAGTTCTATAAACGTGTATACACTGGCCTGTTTAACAAGTACTTGGAGCATATCCGATACGCAGGGCCTGGGGCTGGGATGGGGGAGGTTTAGAGGTGAGTGCCTCATGGCGGCTGCCCTTCGGGCTGGATAACCGGAAAGCAGAGGGGTGGGGGAGGAGTGGTCCTGGTAACTGCAGCGGGGATTCCTAGCTGGGCATCAGGATGAGCGTCCAGGAAGAGATGAATAAACCGGCAGTGGCCCCCGGTCCCAAGGGGCTTGATCACAGCCTGTTGGGACAGCTGACGTATATATATTCTTTTAACTCTAATGCGACCCAGTGAAATCGACACAGATCCAAAATGCCAAAGGAGAGGACAAGCAACCTCTGGGGTTTTGCTCCTCTGTGACATCTGGATCACAGAACTGAGCTCTCCTTGAGAATTTTTGCCTCCTCAAGATAAAGGCAACCCAGTTCCCTTCATCAAATGATCGTGGCCATTACGAACTCTACCAATAACTTCTGGCACCTTCTAGCACCTTCACACTCACTTGCTTAGCCCACTCATTAGCTGTTTTGATCTGATCTTTGGACAAATGGGGATTTCAAATCAGGCCAGCAGAGTACAAATCCCAGGTTTGTTCTTTGCTGCTGTGACTTTGGGCGTGTCATTTAACTTCTCTGAGGTTCCATTTCCTCCTCTAGGAAATGGAGAAACAACACTTCCTTAGAGATGGGAGCATAAAATTCGATTCACCAAACATTCACCGAGTGCCTTCTATGTACCAGGCACAGTTCAAAGCGTTCTCCGTGCATTAACTGCAACATGACCAGACGGGTACTGTCCTTATTGCCATTTTACAGGCAAGACACGAAGGCACAGAGAGGACAAATAATTGAGCCAAGGTGACACGGCTGGCAAAGGCAGAGCTGGGATTTGGGCCATGGAGTCTGGTTCTAGAAACAGCTGTCCTTAATCGCCAACCTACAGGATAGCAATAGGAACTCAACCAGTAAGAGTTGCGCTGGAGTCAAAACTTACAAAGGGAATTAGGGCAGATGTGCATCAGTGAGTCCGTCAGTCAGTCAGCAAACCTTATGAGTGCCCAGTATGTGCCAGCTCAGCTTAAGCGCCAGGAACATTGTGGCAAACAAAACTAGGCAGGTCCTGCCCTCAAGGTGTTTGTATTCTGCTGGGTGTGGGTAGTGTGTATCGTGGGTCTTGGTAGGGGGCGGAAAATAAACTAAAAAATAATTCCAGGAACCAAGTACTAGAAAGAAGTAAACTAGGTTAATGCTGGGGCGCCTGGGTGGCTCAGTCGGTCAAGAGTCTGACTCTTGGTTTCGACTCAGGTCATGATCTCACATTTCATGAGTTCGAACCCTGCATCAGGCTCCATACTATCAGTGTAGAGCTTGCTAGGGATTCTCTCTCTCCCTCTCTCTCTCTCTCTCTCTGCCCCTCCCCCTCTCACTCTCAAAATGAATAAACTTAAAATTTTTTTTAAAACTAGGTTAATGCAGAGACTGTGTGGAGCACTGCTCTAGCCAAGATGATCGGGAAGGCCTCTCTGGGGAGAGCTGAGCTGAGCTGAGACCTGAGTGTTAAGGAGGACACAGCCATAGCAAGCGCTGAGAGAAGAGTGTTCCGACCACAGGGCATAGCATGTGCAAAGGCCCTGAGAGCACTGAGCTGATGCGTTCCAGGGCAGAAAGAACCCCAGTGTGATCAAGACAGAACAGCAAGGGGGAGAGGGGTTAAGTGACAGTTATTTAAACGTGAGTTACAGACTTACGGGCTATTTGTAGGTGGGTTACTATGTAACACATTCCCTATTTTGGGCCATCCTCAAAAAAAAGCTTGGCACTCACTTCTAGATGTATCTAAAGGAATCCAGCCTGCTCTCAGGTGTGGAAAGCAGTGCCCAGGGAGCCGAGAACATTCTCCGCTCCCTGCAGGCTCCCATCCCGCCTGCCTTTTCCATCCGGGCTGTGAGCACACAGGCCTGAGCCAAACTGAGAATTGCATGAAGAGGAAAGGTCGGTTCTGAAATGACAACAAAAAGCACAGGGGCCCCTCGGTTAGAGCGGAGCCTCCCTGGGCTCACCTCCCGGACCGGGGCCTCACCTGCAACACTGGAGTGGGTTGCTGCAGGTGACCCTTGTTTTTCTCACTCTGCCCTCTCCCCTCCAGGTCTTCGGGAAGCCCCATCCGTTCAACTTGGTCCTCCGGCACCCCTGCCCAGAGCCCCAGGACACCATCCATCCCCTTGACGAGGGGGCCTTCCCCAAAGTGTCCCCGGAGCTGAAGAACTCGGAACTGCATGGCAGCACGGACAGCGGCTTTGGCAGTGCGAAGTCATCCCTGCAGAATGAGGGGTCCCAGTTCCTCCTGCCGGTCCCCCACCCCCAGGCGGCGGGGACTGTGGGAAAGGGGGCGCCCCGGGAGCCGGACAGCAGCCGCAGCGGGGGCAGCAGCAACAGCACAGACAGCGGGATCTGCTTGCAGGAGCCCAGCCCGAGTCCTGGCACCGGACCCCACTGGGAGCAGCGGGTGAGGAAGAGCAGCCAGGGCCAGGACGACAGCGGCCTCGGTCTAGCCCAAAACTCAGAAGGGCAGCCAGGGGATGTGCAGGGGGTCTCAGACTTGGGCCGTGTCAATCCCCCAGGGCCTGAGGTGCCTGGGGAGGAAGACCCAGCCTCAGTGGCATTCCGGGGCTACCTAAAGCAGACCAGATGCACACAGGAGAGAGCAACCACGGCAGGCTGCCTGGAGGAAGAGCCCGCCTCGACAGATGGCCTCGGCCCCAAGTTCAGGACATGCCCGGATGCCGAGGCAGGCTGGCCCCCGCTGGCCCTGGACAAGGGCTATTTGAAACAGGACCCAGGAACAACTCACCCTGCATCAGGGACCCCAACCGGACAGTGGAGTCGGCCAACTGAGGAGTGGTCACTTCTGGGTTTGAGCAGCTCCAGGGACCTAGGAGCATCTGACTGCAACTTGGCCCATGACCTGGCCCCTCTGGACTGTATGGCAGCCCCAGGTGGTCTCCTGGACCGCTTTGACTCAAACCTGGTCACTCTGCCTCTGATCTCCAGCCTGCACTCGAATGAGTGACTCAGGCTAAGGGGCTGCTTTTGATGTCAGCCGTGCCCTTCCTGGACCAGGAGGAGGGGCCGCAGGGGTCAGAAGTGACTCATGAGGCCAGTGTGAGCACTCTTCTGCAAGTTCCAGAGGTCCAGCCCTCGCCAGGCCCAGCAGGGCTGCCCGAGGTGCCCAGGGCAGAAAGAGGCTATCTTGTTATACTATTGCAGGGTATCCAGATGGCACTGGCCGGTTATGCAGACAGGGCCCCAGAGACTCTGGCAGGACCAGGAAGGGCAGGGCGGAGATCTCCTCCCTTCTAGGGGCTCTTCCTATACTGTAAAAGAGTCTTTGCTCGGGGGAATCATAGGGTTTTCTGGAAATGCGGTGAGGCCAGCTATTGTGGTGAGGGCACCAAGCTGAAGTCGGTTCAGACCCAGCCCTCCGTCTCAGGCTAACCATGTGCCAGGGCCTCCAGCAGGATGCAGGGCTGGGAGGGTGGGGGCTTCAGAGCCTCCCTGCAGGGTCATTTCTAGGAGGAAACAGGAGGACCCGGAGATCAGGTGTGGTCTCTAGGATGGTCACACGGAGAATCTTCCAGACTGGCAGTCCTCCCAGGCAGGGAGCTTGTCACAGAAGATCTTCAGATGAATCTGCCCTGGTCAGCCAGTCTACCAACCACCATTATGGAGCCACAAGGGGACGAAACCCCCGTGTCCAAGCCACTCACTACCCCTCCCTGTGGCCTCCACCATCTTGCTGACAGCACTGGAGAAGCCGTGGCTATTTGTACCGGTCACTGGTCAAAACTCAGCCCTCCACTGGGGCGCCTGGGTGGCGCAGTCGGTTAAGCGTCCGACTTCAGCCAGGTCACGATCTCGCGCTCCGTGAGTTTGAGCCCCGCGTCAGGCTCTGGGCTGATGGCTCGGAGCCTGGAGCCTGTTTCCGATTCTGAGTCTCCTTCTCTCTCTGCCCCTCTCCCGTCCATGCTCTGTCTCTCTCTGTCCCAAAAATAAATAAACGTTGAAAAAAAAAACTTTAAAAAAAAAAACAACAAAAACTCAGCCCTCCAGGTTGTCTGTGGACTTGGGCACCAGCTCGCCTGCCCCAGAGGGTCCGGGTTGGGACCTGCACTTGGGTTTACTGCTAACATCCAGCTCCAGACCCACAGGACATGTCACTACTCTCTCAGGGTTCAGCTGTGTGCGCTGGGGCCAGCCACAGTTGGAATAAGGACTCAGTCTCCCGGGGGCCCCTCCCCGCTGGACGTTAACCAAGCTGGCCTCGGGGGCGACTCCGGCCCGGTGTGAGCCTGGGCTGGGAAGAAGCAGACCGTAGAACCCACGTCTGCAGAGAACCAGCTTCCTTCTCATGCCGAGGACTAACAGATTTAGCAAAAGTCCACGGTGATGCGCTGAGAGAACCATCAGACCCTGGGCCCAGAAAGGGGGCGGCTGTGGGCCCTGCTTCCCCACACTCGGGGTTAAGATTCTGTCTTCAAAGCCAGTTTACAGTCTATGGGCAAGGAAGCTGGGAGGTGTGACAGGCCTGACAGCTGCCCCCGAAGAGTCACCACTCGGCCCTACATCTTTCTGTGGCATTCCAAGAATAGACACAGCAGCTCAGAGAATCCAGCCAGAACCGCCCCTGCTCCCCAACCACATTCTACCAAGAGGTTCTCAGGTATCTGATGACTCCCTCTGCACACTGAAGCTTGAGGAGTTCCTCAGGGTTCCCTCGGAAGGTCTATTTATTTATCTTGTTCCCTTATTTATTGAAGAGAGAGCACCATACCATGAAAGAATTCTGGGTATTTCAAGAACCCGGTTCTGACCCCCCTGGTTCCAGTTCTGACCCCACTGTGCATAGCATTTCCTCATCTGTAAACTGAAGAGCCTCGGTGTCCTCATCTGCAAATCTAGAAAACCATGCCTGACGCGTTTCATTCACAGGGACGTGAGTTTCCACCGAGGGGGTGGGTATGAACGGGTCTTAAAAGAAAAGCTCTGTACGTCAGTGGTGTATGGTTTTTTATTTCAATGAATTGTCAGGACCACAGGAATCTTGTGAAACCAGTCAAATTTCTGATGACACGGTGGCTGCTGGGAGACTCAAGTTGTTGCTCATGGAGGTTGATAAGGAATAAAACGTGTGATGTCGCTTTAGCAGGGAGGAAGACTTAGGCTCAAATGGGACACAGGTCTGAGCCCTCGTGCTAACATGACGAAATGGGTATGTAATGTAATGAAAGAGATCATGACACTGTATGTAAGTCAAAGAAACATTCCTTTGGAAAGCTGAAAAGGAAATGTAGAAGACAAAGGTTTTTTGTTTTTGTTTTTCTGAGAGAGCATGGGGGTGGGGGCAGGGGCAGAGAGAGGGGTCAGGGGATCCATAGCAGAGAGCCCGACGCGGGGGCTCGAACTCAAAAACCATGAGATCATGACCTGAGCTGAAGTCAGACGCTCAACCGACTGAGCCACCCTGGTGCCCCCAAGACAATGTTTTGAGTGTGGATTCTGACCGCTTGGAAAAGAGAGCAGACCTTCCTGGAGCCCCGCCACCTGACCCCCTCGACCTGGAGGTGTGACCCACGGGTGCTTCTCATAAGTGCGGAAGCCATCTGCATTTGATTCTGAAAGCAACCTTCTCTTTCTACGAAAAGCCACACGTGGGTTTGAATCTCTCCCCAGGCTCAGCCCGGCAGATGGAGCAAACTCAGGGTCGGGGCCAGGGTCTCTGGTGCACTTTGCCCTTTGTCACAGCCTGGATCCTCGAGGAGGTGAATGGGGACACCTCATCTCCTTTCCCCTGGGTTATCTCCAATGACGCTTCTCCCCATCCCACTCTGAGAAAAGCAGCCGTTCTGGGGAAGTGCTGATCCTATCGTCTTCAGAGAACTTGACTAATACCATGCCATTTGGGACCTGCTCAGACTTCTGCCCCGGAGGCCTCCCTGTCCTATTCCTAAGAAGTGTGGATTTGGCCACTTACTCCTGGAAACAAATGCTGCAGATGGCTTCAGCCCCAAGGAAAAGGCCCCCGAGGCAGGCTGGGTGGAGAGCAGCAGAGAGGTGAATACACAGATTGAGAGAGTAAGAGGAACCAGCAACCGCGGACAGTTCGGCTGGAAGAGACCAAACCCAGAGCAGCTTGAAGAACGGAGTCCCAGGATGTGGGCTCGCCTGCTTCCCTTGTGACGCATGAGTGGGAGCTTGTGCTGGGTCCCCTCTGCTTTGAAGCCCCTCTCTGCCTGCCCAGCCCAGACAGCCAGGGCTCGTGGGGCAAACAGCGATCTTCCAACAGTCGGTGCCGAGGTGCTCACAGGCTTCTCGGCCATTTGGATTCAAGTCCCCAACAGAAGGCCCTCTTTGTTCTTAAACTGAGTAATGTCCCTCAAGGGCTTTTCCAGGCTGAGGAATGTGTGATTCTGCGTTTCTATGAGCTAACGGGACTTCCTCTTACCCAGGAGATGGGGGGGGGGGGGGGAATGGACCCACGTTGACCGAACAGGAAATTCTATTGAACTGTTTTCCCAACTTTCTAAATAGCTATGTCAGAGAATCTGCCTTTTCTTCCCCGAAGATCTCTACCCCTCCTCACCCCACCTGCAAGGCACACACTATCACAGAACACACACGGTCACAGGGTTGCGAGGGTGGTCATGGCCGCAGAGCCCACACTGCCCCGCTGGGTGGAAACTGCAGGAACCCCACATGGGAACGGCGGAAGAGAGGGATGCCATGGGCCATGCCCAACCGGGACAGAGCGCTTGCGACTGAGAGAGGGAGTGTTTTGGGCAGCTCGGGCAGATGTTCTGAAGCCCCAGCCTAGAGGACACCAGGTAGTAGGAGGCATGACTCATCCATTTCCTATAGTGCTTCTGGGTTTCAGGGTTTCTTGTAAAGCAAATCCACAATTTAAAATTAAATGCATTTTTATTAACGATTCACAGCACCTTTCCTCACTAGCCGCTTCATCTTAGGTCCGCATGGCTCCCATAAATATTCGACAAGGGTGGGGGGGACCCGATAAACACTCTGACAAGGAAGGGTTGGGTCAGTGTTTTAAAAAGATAACCCTGGCCAAAGCACATGGCATGAGTCAGAAGGGACAAGGCAGGATGTACTGAGACCTGGCCAGAAGCACTTATAGTCAGCATTTCATTTCTTCAAGAAGCGTTTTTAAGCACCTACTATGTGCCGGATCGGGTGCTCAGCACTGGCCCACAGTGAACAAAAGAGGTGCAGCTTCATGGAGGAAGCCATCCGGTTACGAAGATGAGTATCAAGCTAACAGACTGACAGATACATCATTACAATCAGTGACAGGCGCCCTGAGAGGAACAGAGATGGAAACAGAAGGGATGGTGGAAGCAAGAGGAGGGGAAGGAAGAGGCAGCTGTCTTCTTTTGCTCAGGCTGCCATAGAAAAATACCACACCCGGGTTGGGGGACGGGCTTAATAACAGACATTTCTCATAGTTCTGGAGGCTGTAAGTTCAAGATCAAGGGGCCAGCCAATTTGGTTCTTGGCGAGGGCTCTCTTCCTGGCTCGTGGATGCCCCCTTCCTCCTTTGTCCTCACTAAAGGAAGAGGGAAAAGAGGGGAGGGGAGGTGGGAGGGGAGGAGAGGGGGAAGAGAGGGGGAGGGGAGGGGGAGGGGAGGGGGAGGGGAGGGAGTAGAGAGCGAGTGCGTGCTCCCATTAGGCGAGCTCTCTGGTCTCTCTTCCTCCTCTTGCAAAGACACTTATCCCACCATGGGGTCTGCCCCCTCATGACCTCATCTAACCCTAAAAGCCTCCCAGAGGCCCCACCTCCTAATACCATCACATTAGGAGTTAGGGCTTCAACACGTGAAATTCGAAGGGACACATTCAGTCCGCCACAGGGTTCAATGACAATCGGATCCAATGACAATACTGAACAGGGACAGCAGGAATGGAGAGCAGGTGACCGATTCAAAAGGCATTCTGCAGAAAGAACTGGCAAGACTCAGTGGCAGGCTGCAGTGAAAGAGGCACTGATCCCAATCAAACATGGACGAGAAAAGCGAAATACGCACATGGGAAGGAGCCATGGGGGGGGGGGGCGGGGGGGGATGAGTTCTGGCGCCCTAGGACAAGTCACCCAAAGAAGAAGTCCTCCGGCAGTTGGCAAGGCAGGCCTGGCAGTCGGTGAGGGCTCAGAGCTGGGGATTCAGATGTGATGGCCTTTGTGCTCATGCTGCCCCCACTGGATGGGAGAGCCCACACCTGGGTGTGGAACTGAGGACACAGATATGGTGATGGCCACACACTCCCCCCCAACCCCGCAGCCAACCTGCAGCTGAAACACTCACCTATTGACCCCCACCCCGCCTAGAGGAAAAGCAGGCTACCAGCCCTTTGCCCTTAGAGTGACAGGAGCCGTGTGTGTGCTCGGCACCCATCTCGTAGACCCCAGGGGAGCCTCATCAACGCCTCATCGTTGCTTAGACAAAGGTGCAGCTGAGAGTTTTTAGTAAATCAGCGGATCGGTAGAGCTGATAAGCTCTGGAGCAGACGTGGGGCGGGGGGGGGGGGGGGTGTGCCCGGAGCACACTGGTACAGGACTGCCAAAAGCCTGGGTAGAGGGTGCACCCATATACCTCTACCTACACAGGGAAGGAAGGGTTGGTGGAGGTCAAGGCCTCATGATGGCTCTGGAGAGAAGAAAAGCATTCTTCAGGATCCCAGTCACCGTGACCCTGGCGGTATTTCTTGCCCTCCACCGCCTAACACGCCCATCTACCTGTACCCAAGGGCAGTTTTCCAAAGTATCACCCACATCAGAATCA